CGCCCATAGATTGTACAAGAACATAAGGACGTTGGAATTGAAGCATTCTCCATCCCCAAAGGTCACATTATTCCTAAAATATGAAGCTCTCCAAAATGAAAGCAACCATTGCATGTCTCCATTAACCTTATTCAGCAAAAGAAGTGGCCAATCTAAACCATCATGAACCAGAATTTCCTCCCCAATGCTTTAAATTACGAAACATTGTGATCCTAGACTACTCAATTGAGTTCATTTTGCAATCCGTTCGACTACAACGGAACAAGAAAATGTGTATCACGCACAAGTCTTTCCATTTTAAAAGTTCTAGACACCCGGTGATTCAAAATTTGGACTCTGGCTATGAAGGTGCCCTTCCTATATTTGAAGACAATTTCTTTGCATTTGCCATTCATACAACTTCTAAAATCCAAAGATGAGTTATATCTTCTTTGTTTGCGAATAAAGATGAGATAAATCTGCTATCGCAAATGAAAAAAATGAACAATTTACCCACCATATACCAAGATTGCTCATTTTAAGGTCACCCGCTTCACTGCTTGTAGTCGTCGCTAGGTGGTCTACAGATCGGGTTCTAATTTTTATTATTTCCGGTGTTCGTTGTACTGCCATGATTGATGATGAATAGATTGCAAGTTTTCATGAAAAAAAAAGTAATACTAATTATAGAAAAGAACTTCGCAAAGAAAGGTAATATACAGAAAACCCTACACGGTCAACTACAAAATATTCCTACACCCGGAGGGCTCACGTGTTGCTAGAGAAAGCTCGTGCGAAACCGAAGCCGGAATAATAATCCGACTTTCGGGGGGCATATGGGCAGATCCTTCTCCCCACTGGAAGTAAATACCGGAAGCAGCTGTTCTTCGCTGCGATGTCTCTGCGCCCTCGGCACCTTGACCAACCTCATTCCCATACCAATCCGTATATACGCTCACTGACAGGTGTGTCCGGCACGCCGGGGCCCGCGGTGTCGGGGGCGAGTAAGGGCATCTCCAATGGTTGTAAGATAGTTATTGATAGACTTTACCACATAAAATTTTTGATGATATGTCATGCAATAAATGAGAAAAGAGAAGAATGTTGTATGTACATAAACCAACATCCATTGCACCAGCTCCAATGTAGAATGAAAGAGCATCTTATTTATTATCTCACATTTTATTGAGCATACTAGATATAATCCATTAAAAATATTGTATGTTAAGATACTGGTTGATGACATGGCATATTTTACCAATAAACATACAAACTGTTGGAGATGCTCTAAGCAGCAGCAGGGTGGTTTTCTTGGAGAACGACGCTCGCTGGCCGTTAGACTGTGCACTGAGCTAGCGTCCAATTGGTTCGCGCGGGCGCGCTACGTGACCACAGGGGGCGTACACGGGCTCTGTGCATGGCAGAGTATGACGTGGTGGGCCCGCTTCTGCTGCTTCCGGATGATTTTTTCACCTCTTTTTTGATATATTTTTTACTATTTTTGGCTGGTAATGCTAATAAAAAGCTTGTTTTTTTTGTTTAACGCTAGGAAAAGAAGCTTGTTCGAAAGTGGAGAGCGCCTGAAAATGTTGACCGAATTTCCAAAAGATAAAGAAAGTGGCAAATATCAAGCGGGAAAGAATCCAAGGGGGAAACTCGGTAGCAAAAAATGGTAGCCCTAGCAAATTAAGCAGTGCTATAGAAATGCTAAATGCGATGCCCAAGCGGAGGGTAGGGCGTGAGAGCATCTACACCCGGACACCCCAAATCTGTCTGGCTCCTCGCTCACCACCGACCTCATCGTTGTTCCACAAAAAACCTCAATCCGGCTCCTCGCTTGGAACCATAGCTCACTTGCTCCCGTCTCCTCTCGCTGATTCTGATCCAATTCGATGACCATGTCGAGTTTCAGCAGCCGCTCCGACGAGGAGCTAGCCCCCCGCATTGCCTTGGAGCAGTCCAAGGCAGACATTGGGGGCAGCTTCGGGTCTGCATCGTCACCGCAGCTCCCCCGTCGACGCTGGCTCCTCCCGGCCCGCGTGCAGCTCCACGAGAGTTGCGCAGTCCACACCTCCCCCACGCCATCCCCTGCCCCCGTCGGCTACTGCTCCCCCACGTGGGCAGCGGTGACGCGCACGCCTGAATCGAAGGTGCGTGACACCCGCCGTGAGGCGGCGGGCAAGGGACAGGGACGCGACAAAGCAGTCCGTGCGCCGCTGTCGCGGGATGCAAGCGAAGCCCAACGAGGACGAGTGGTCCTTGCTTTGGTCTAACGCCGGTCGCTTACGACGGTGAAGGCGGACGCTCGGCGGCTCCGTCGGAAGAACGCAAAGGCACTCCAGATTGCCATTGAGCGGTCCGAGCGCGAGGCGGCGGTGGGGGCGGCTCGGCTGGCGAAACTCAAGAGGCAGCAAGACAGGGTCGTCCGGTGGCTCAAAGGGCTCGTCATCCTCTCCGACACCTCCGATGATGACCATGACGCCTCTCCAACGACTCGGACGATCCTCCACCAGCCGGCGGCGACTGGAAGGGGAAAGGGCCACGTGAGGAAGTGGTGAAGATCTGCCTTCTTCAAAATGGTTTTCTCATTTTATGTTATTTATTACATTTTCCTAAGCTCCTATACAAGCACTTTTTCTACAAGCACTTTGCTTTGAGTAGTTCCCAGGATCACGAGCACATATGTTTTATGACCACACACTCTCTTCTTTTTAAACCTTTTTTATCCGTATGACGAACCTTAGTTATAATTACTTTTAGAATATGTTCTTTAAATAATACAAATTAAAATTGAATAATTCACACCCAAAAAAATCAGATCATCGCACAAACAATATGTATCTTCTCAGAAAGAACAATTCGTTGAGGAGTGCTGTGGCAAGTGGAGGTGGTTGTACTCCCTCCGTCCAGAAATACTTGTCGAAGAAATGGATAAAAATGGATGTATCTAGAACCAAAATACATCTAGATACATCCATTTCTCCGACAAGTATTTATGAACGGAGGAAGTACTACATACCCGGCAAGGAGTAAACCCTACATTAGACGTTATACATATGTGTCTCATTAACATGATTATTATTTTTTGGGTGGAATGTTGTTCTCGTTGATCGCAATGCACATGTTGTAAGTTGTAACTCTACGAATTCTAATCTTCGTGTTTGCGTATAAATATATCTTGCAGTATTAGTATTAGAAAAAATAGCATCACGAAATTTGTGACACCGGTAACTTCTCCACATAGTTTTAACATAGTTGACATGTGAACTAGGAGGTGTTTCTTCCATGTTATGTTGAAGCCTACTAGCATAAACTACTGGTACTACGGTATGTTTTGACTGAGCGGTGCAAGTATATTCTAATGGTGTGGATAATGATCCGGGTTTTGTGCCTAGGAACAAGGGCTTGGGGGTTTTAATACCACCCACTGGCCTCACCAAATCCATTCCATGAAAGCTCAACTTGCATAACCAAGTTCGATTATTCTTATCCTCTTTGGTGTACTACCTCACTCGTTGACCAAGTCGCCGCACCCAATTATCCCAAGCCTGCCGAGAGAGAAGAACAAGAAGAGAAGCATGGGCAGGAAGGAACCAAGATATAGGAAGATGAGACGAGTCATACGAAAGACACATGCAACGTTGCCATGCCCAAGATGGGGCCAAAACATGTGTAGATGCATATGCCCGATTAGCGTGGACTGTACACAAATAGCAACGGCCGAAGTACCATACAGCGTTCATGGGTTTGTACTGTCTCTTCATGAAATATAGTAGTATTAAACTAACTTCTCCAGTGAGAAGTGACAAGACGAAATTTATAGTTTAACATCCATGGTGGGTGTCATTTTAAGGGGGTG